CACACGCACACGTACACGCACACGCACACGCACACGCACACGCACACGCACACGCACACACACACAAACACACACACACAAACACACACACAGCCATTCAATCAAACAGACACACAAAACACACACAGACACACAAACGAACACACACACACACAAACACACACACAAACACACACACAAACACACAAACACACACAAACACGAACACACACACACACAAACACGCACAAACACACACACACACACAAACACACACACAAACACACACAAATACACACACAAACACACACACACACAAACACACACAAAAAACACAAAAACACACAAACAACACAAAAACACACAAAAACACACACACACACACGCACACACACACACAAACACACACACACAAACACACACACAACCATTCAAACAAACACGCACAAACACACACAGACACACAAACAAACACACACACACAAACACACACACACAAACACACACACACAAGCACACAAACACACACAAACATACACACAAACACACACACACACACAAACACACACAAACACACACAAACACACACACACAAACACACACACACAAACACACACACAAACACACACACACAAACACACAAACACACACAAACACGAACACACACACACACAAACACGCACAAACACACACACAAACACACACACACAAACACACACAAATACACACACAAACACACACAAATACACACACAAACACACACACACAAACACACAAAAAACACAAAAAACACACAAAAACACACACACGCACACACACACACACACACGCACACACGCACACACAAACACACACACAACCATTCAATCAAACACGCACAAACACACACAGACACACAAACAAACACACACACACACAAACACACACACAAACACACACACACAAGCACACAAACACACACAAACATACACACAAACACACACACACACAAACACACACAAACACACACAAACACACACACACACACAAACACACAAACACACACACACACACACCGAAACACACAAACACACACACACAAACACACACACACAAACACACACAAACACACACACAAACACACACAACACACACAAACACACACACACAAACAGTTACAACCACACACACACACTAAAACACACAGACACACAAACACACACAACCACACACACACAAACACACACAAACACAACCACACACAAACACAAACACACAAACACACACACAAACACACAAACACACACACAAACACACACAAACACACAAACACACACAAACACAAACACACACACACACAAACGCACACACAAACACACACAAACACACACACACAAACACACACACACAAACACACCAACCACACAACACAACACAACACAACGCAACACAACACAGCACAACGCAACGCAACACAACACAACACAACACAACACAACACAACACAACACAACACAACACACACAACACACACAGACACGCGCACACACGCACACGCACACAGCTGAGTATCAGTGTATTTCTTTTTTTTGCACATGTATATATGTCCTTGCTTGCTACAGGCATCATTTCAACCAGACCCAGCCAGATGATTGCATTGCAGGTTGATTCAATATCTGAGCCAGAAGGAGTCTGTGTCTAGAAATTGTACAAAAGCCAACGACTTGCGAGCAACAGGTCGCTGCCTTGCTAACACTGATCAGGCGCACAACTGCGCCCAAGTGCGCAAATTCTGGCAAAAAAGCTGGCTAGATCGGGACCCACACTGAAGGACAGAGATGGACAGGTGTCGTGTGGCTAGAAGCGAGTGCTGATTGGAGACTGGAGGAAGCATACCTTTGAGAATGTTGTTTGGCACTTGGGGAGCTAACAACACTATTCCAGCTTTTCCTTCAAAATCAGGATGGTGCCAAAGAAACCTGCGCTGCTTGTAACCGTTATAATACGGGCATATGCTCCAATGTTCTTTGGGCGTCCCCTCTCCAATTCAACATGGTTCCCAAGGACCTCCCTCTACAACTCATGGTTTGCGGCGTATGCGAATCAGGGGAGCAGGGGTTTGACCCTTTCCCCCCCCACATCCTCTTTTCTGCGCGCCTGTCAGAGTTTCCGGGCCGTAGGCCCGGAGCGCCAGGTGCTGCGGGTCTTTGCGGCGGCGGAGCCGGGGATCCAGGCGCTGGCGGAGAGCCCCGGGGAGTTCATGAAGAACTGCCCCCCCGCAGGTGCGAGTGGAGCGAGCAACCCGTGGACCCCGACCCCCACGGTTGACGTGGGGGTAACGTATCTTACCAATTTTTTAAACCTAAGCCAATTTGACGGCGGAGAAGGTTCACATTGGGTTGTTCAAAGACAATCCTTTGTCCTTGGCTTAGGTTGGGTAAGGGGTCCCTTTGTAGTGGTTTCTTTCCCCCTGGGGATGATGGAGTAGTATTGGCCAACCCTCCATTTTGAACAGGTTCAGGGTTGAACATTGACCCAGGAAACCAAAATGGAGCCAACTCCCCAACAAGACGCGGTCCATTTGGCTTTTGCAATTTTCCCCAGGCCCGGAGAATAGCGCGGCGGTGCTGCCGAGCTGGGCGGAGACGCTGTTGGAGCAGCAGCCGGGGCTCAAGGCGTCGCGAAATCTCTGGCGTAATGATCAGTCAAAAACCCTTGGTGCTGAGCGAGAGAGAGAGAGAGAGAGAGCTAGAGACAGGGGAAAGCCTTTGGTGCTGAGCGAGAGAGAGAGAGAGACCCAGGCTGAATGTAGATTTTTCGAATTGGAACACGTCTGAAAGGAGTGAAGGGTATTTTTGGCGGGTTTCGGAAAATGGCCCAGCCATCTGGGGAACCTTGACCTTGGTGATGTTGCAGAAGAGCAGGAGGGGGAACAGAAGGTGATTTGCGGCCATTAGCCTGAACCGGACTCTGAGATCCTTTGAAGGGAAACCCAGTTGTTCAGTTTCGTTCAGAGGATTCGGAGCCCACTGAAACTGAAATCAACCTCAAAAGGGTTCTAATTCTTTTCTACCTGCCACTGGACAATGTGGCAAACAAGCCCAAGGTCCCGTTCAGGATTGTTTTTAGCCCTCTTGGAGGTTGATCCAACTTAGTAATATTGGGGATGGACGAATTCCTGCACCAGTTGGTATGTGCTTTCTCCACGTATTCACAGCGTTTCATCCATCCAAACTGGTGCCATGGATTTGTCCATGAGTTGTATGGCATTCGCTTGGTAAAGGGGATGAAGCCAGAATGGCATGCCATCTACTTCACCCTGGGAGTTTCTGGGATTCGGACCCGTTGGGGAAGCCATGATTCGAGGGAGTCAAGAGGAGACCCGATTCCGGCTGGTGCCGGCCAAGCTCCGCGAGGAGGCAGGGCCGGAGAGAAAGCAGCGATAAGGAAGCGGGGGGGGGGGGGGGAAATCATTTCTCCTTCAAAGCCATGTGCGTTGATACGTATCTATATGTGTGCATACATGTTCATGTCTATGAGAACTTATCTGCTATGCATGCAATTAAATATGTGTTTTTAGTGTTTTGGGGTGACATTTCTGCTACTGCATCTAGTTTTTGACTTTCAGGCATGGGAGATGCTTGCGCCCACTCTCGCAGGACTTTTGGGACCGCTACTTCGCCGCGGTCTTCCACATCATTCAGCTGGAGCTACAGGAGTCGGCCGGCTAGCGAAGGAAAAGAAGTGCTGACAGCTTTCTCCACATCAGGGGGTTAGACGAGCGCCCAGCCCTGGTGCCAACTTGGGTGGTCCCATATGAGCAGCCCCCCAACCCATTGCCTTTGTGTTCTAACAAACCTTAGGATTCACTAGTGCCCCAGTAAGCCAGGCAGTAGATCCACCTAACGTGGCGGTTTTGGGCGCCCATCTGCTAAAACGGAGCTCTAAATCCTGTCTTTTGGCTTTGTCCTATGCGGGTTTGGCAAAACTGTTCACGCCGGATTGAGAAACCCTCCCCCCTCCCCCAGCATTCCGGGAAAGAAGGTGGTCTTCGGAGAATCAGAAGTAGTTTGTAGACGGCCCCTCTGCGGGGCGGAGGTACCCCCGCGGGTTACAGTGGATGTCCTGAATGCTGCAATTGCCGGACGGGGGACAAGGGGAACACTGAATTTACCTCAATTGACCAGGGGTTTGTGGTTGGATGTGATTGGTTCGCTAGCAATACTTTGGGAATCCACTGCAGGCAGCTTGTGGGAATCGTTCGTAGCTGTTGCACCCTGTGCGCCTTTAACATATTCTGCAATGAGTTAGTGGCAAAGCCCAAGCAGGTTGGCTTGAGAAGCTTGCAAGAGGTTGCCGCTTTTTGTTGAGCTTATGTAACCGTGAGGCTTACGATCTGCAAATGTACCATACACCATTGTCTTCGTGATTGCTCGACTTTCTATGGAGACTTGCGGTGATTTTTGGACGCAGAGGCGAGGGCCAGGCAGGTGCCTCGGTCACAAGGGTTCAAGCGATGGCGGGCAAGAGCTAGGTGCGCAGCCTTGGCGCCCGCCTCCATGACCGATGGAGCAGGGGCGAGCGCCGGGGCCGGCCCCGGGCCGCTTTGCACGCCTGGTGGGGCCTCTGTTAGATGGGGCCCAGCGCCCAGACGCGCAGGAGGCAGCTAAGGTCATCACCAGCCTTGGCCGCGCCCAAAGGTGGCAGGAGGCCTTGGCGTCCTTTCTGCCATGGCAAGCCTCGGCCAAGTCGATCGTTTGGAACAGCGTCATCAGCGCCTGCACGAACCATCGGACGGGCTGGCAGGTGGGGCTGGCTCTGCTGGACTTGTTGGAAAGAGACTCAAATTGCAAAGCCAATGTGGTGAGCTACAACCTCGTCCTCGGTGCCTTGATGAAATGCTCGGAGATGGGCGTCGCGGTGAACCTGCTCAGGGACTTCCCCTCTCGGCAGATTCTGCCGGACACCTGCTCTTTCAACACGGTGATGGGCACCCTGGCGAAGCAGCCGCCACGATGCGACCTTGTCCTCTCCATCCTGGAGGACGTGATGGGAAGACGTTGATGTTCTCGGCATGGCTGAACACTGCGCGCCAGTCCCTTCCAATGCTTAAACCACCAAATGGGCTGGGTGGAAACCATATCCCCCTTCTTGACCCAGCGCCCACAATTGAGCGGAGCCATATCATCAGCCTCCGAGAGAGGACTGACTCCCTGCAGTGGACAACTGAATTGGTTCCTAGCAGGGAAGCTGCTCGTTTCCCAAAAGCTGCCCTCCCCCCCTTCAAGTGCGCGTGTGGCCCACACATGTTGTTCCCCGAGTGATTGCCCTGCAAAAGATGGGTTTTGGACCTCCATGTCAATCTTTAAGGGGTAGTGGAAGTTGATGTGCCTCGAGGTTTGTCGGACCAGGGGATACGCAGCCACCCATAAAGCCACCATACAGCTGTATAGTGTGGTTTGGGGTTGTGAACCATCTTAGATTCCCTCAGTTTGCAAAGTTGGTTAGGCGTCCTTTGGTTCCCCTTTGCCAGGGACCTAATTTAGGCCCATGTGCCAGGGTCTTTGGAGCGACATGTGTTAGTTATGTCAATACAGTGCGTGGACAAACTCCTGCACCAGTTGAGATGCATGAAGCCCATCGTTACAAGCCGCCGAACTGGTGCTCGTAGCGGATTAGTTACACTGGGAGTTCCATGCTGGAAATGATTGCTGCTGAGTACCCTACCTAAAGGTTTTCAAGGGTCAGAACATCAACAGTCTGGAATTTCGGAAATTCCAGTCCAACATTCTCTTGCTGGTGCTCAGGGAATGAGGGAACCCTTAAAGGAAACAGGGATGGTTTCTATGACTCATTCCCTCATTCCCTACCTATCGCACCAATTTCATTCCTTCGGATCGGCAGGAGTGCGGCCGCGGCCCGGGCCTGGACACCCAGAGCTTCAACATCGCAGTGGCGGCCTGCGGCCGCGCCAACCGCTGGCAGAAGGCCCGTTGTGCTGAACTCCGGGGGCCGGTGGGGCCAAAACCAGGTGACCGTCCGTTTCAGTGAGTCGTTTGCGCGGAACACCTGTTGGAGCAGGGCTAAAGGGAAACCCAAAGGGAAACCCAACAAAAAACCAACGAAATTTGCTTGCAGGCCCTCGAGTAACATTAGCTTGAACACCCACCCATTTGGCAAGAGCCTTACAAGAAAAGGGGCTGAACCAAGGGGAAGCCCTACTTTGAAAAGACCCGTGTTCTGGGCCTCCATCTTTTACCTTGTGGCTTTTGTGGGCCCAATAGGTTGGGGTCGGAAAAAAAAACATGGCCCCCCCAGAGGGTAAGCATATGGTGGACACTTATCACGATTTCGTGGGCAACTGGGATTTCACAAACATGCTCATTGGGTGATTGGTGTTTTGGGCCTTGCCCCCTACTACTGCTTGGTTTTCTCGCAGAGTGCCCATGAAACATTCGAAGGCGGGCCACCCAGTTTTTGGAACCTGTTTAAAGAGCAACATGGCTGTTTCCCTCATGAATGATTGGTCGTGTTTTGAGCTTTGCTTTCCCTCCCGGCCAAGCACCCAAACGGAGGCCTCAGATATGATGCCCTTCGTGCGGAGTGGTTTGCCGAACGCCAGGCCATCGACTTTCTGGAGGCTCCGAACGAGAGTAATGTTGCGTGGTGGGAGGGGGGTCCTACTGGAACACTCCAGTGAACTTTGGAACGCAGCACGTGCAGGTGATGCGCTCTGCACGCTCGCAGCCAGACCTGTACAGCACGCGGCCTCAGTCGGCAGAACTGGCATCTCTCTTTCTCTCGCTCTCTCTTTCTCTCTCTCTCTCTCTCTCTCTCTCTCTCTCTCTTTCTTTCTTTCTTTCTTTCTTTCTTTCTTTCTTTCTTGAGTCATGATGAACGTATGGGGTGGGGTCAGGGTTCCAGTTCTTGAGCAACTCCCAAGGTGGGCTAAACCAAACGGGCTCCCCTGAAATCAACCACCGGCTGTTGAGTCCACCTTGGGGTTGGCTTAAAGATGAAGTTTCGGGGTTTGGGAGGGACTTGCAAGGCTACACCTCAGCCATCTCGGCTTGCAAAGAGGCGGCAGCCTGGAAGGCCACGTTCTTGACACGAGGCATGGGTCGGGGGATTGCCCCAAGATTCGCAGGCGGCGGAGTTGCTCGAGGAGATGAAGGGCGCGAAGCGGGGGTCTTGGAGACTTGGAGATCTTGCCACCACCGCCCCTTTGAAGGAGGACTCCACCGAGTTTCTTACCAACTTTCAACAAACATGGAAGTGGACAGGAGGCATGCGCTGCAGGAGTGATGTCTTCCCAGACTCTGGCTAGAATCTAGAAAGTTTTTTGGCCATTGGAAAGAGGGTGAGGATTGCACCGAGTGGTTTGCCTTCTGGGCCTCAGGCTCCAGCCGGGCATCGTCACTTACGGAGCTGTGATCAGTGCCCGAGCTAGCGACGGGGACTGGAAGGCTGCCCTCGCCTTGCTCAACGAGGCCGGTGCAACATGTGCGCCGGTTTCGCCGACGTCAGAAGTCCCCCGTCTTTGTTTGGAGTAATTATGTACGCAGGTTGCTGAACCGACATGTTTGGAACTATGTGTTCCTTGCTTCTTGGCGAAGCCAGGCCAAAGACAGCAGCCTGGAAGTGACCACCATCGCCTGCAACTCTGTCATTGACGCGCCGGGACCCCAGCAGGGGCCAGGGGCGTGACTCACTCACCGCGCGCTGAGTCGCAGGTGCGAGAAGGGTGCGCAGTGGAGTCTGGCGCTCTGCCTTTTGGATGAAATGCGGCAGCCCTAGACTCTTAGACACGTCAGACACGCCATTCAACGCATAGCCTTTTTTCACCAGGCCAAAGGAAGTTACCACCTTGGGGGTAAAGCTCATGTGGGTAATATAAGAATCCCTAGGCCCTGGCGCAAGCTGGAAGATGACTGCTTTTGGCCACTTTAGCCGGGTGCGCGGGCTTCTGCGCTCAAAGGGTCCGCTTTTTCTCCACTTTAATGAGGGGGGGGGGTGAACCGTGTGGTTCCAACCCAAGCACGTCTTTTCACTTCCAGTTTGCCGTCTGATTTCGGCCAAACCAGCAGGTCAGGGGTCGGCAACACGAGACCACGTTAAGGTCCGATGAGCGGATCCCTCGCAGCACTTCTTCCTTCAACTCGGCGCCGCAAGCCCAGCATCCGAATCCTAGCCTTGGGACCGCACAGCTGCGAGGGACTTTGGGGACTCGCTAAACTTCCCTAAAAGAATCCAGTGGATGGCGCGCAGGAGGTTTGGACCTGGCTGAGGTTTGAAGGGCAATTCAAAGGCTCCGGCAAGTTTTGGACTTGGCTAGCGTTTGGTTGCCCTCCCGTAGATCCTCTCTTGTTTGTTCGTGCACTTCTAAAGGGGCAGCTTGACCAATGCGTACCTACCTCATTTGGTTAAATGAATATTCCGATCCCAAAACCAGCATGACCCAAGACAAAAATCGAGGAACGCTCATGAAGTTGATTGGCGGAGGGGCAGAATCGGCCGTCGGGCCTTGAAGTGTTATGCTAGGATTAGCACGTTTCTTGTTCAAGTGGCCATGCTTGGGGATTAATGCAGAAAGGCATCATGACGGCCTTGTTTTGTTTGTTCCACACCCAAATCGCCAAAGACGGTGGCACATTGTGTAGCCCACGCGGGTTTTTGCACACCAGCTGACTGCGGCTGACTGGCAGAGTTACCAGATTGGACGTTGACAGTCACGACACGGTAAGAGATGTGATGAACAAGATGCGGGACAAAGAAGGTATTCCTCCAGATCAACAGCGGCTGATACTCGCAGGGGCTCAGCTGCTAGACTGGCACAAATTGGCCTTCTACGAGATCACAGACAAATCAAGATTGCACCTGGTCCTGCGGCTGAGGGGCATGATTAGCACCTTTACCTCATGCGATCTTCCAGATGAGCGGGCACTGGCTGAGGTGCCGCGGAAAGCCCTCGAGGAGGCTGCCAAGGAAGCAAACCGATGCCACGCTTTCATTTTCTCATTTGATGACGATGTCATCAGTCCTCAATCCCGAGCGCTTCTGTCGTCCTTTCTTGGTTACATGTGGGACAGCACAGCGCCCGCTGTTGACCTCCGTCTTGATATTCTACCGGAGCACTTTTTGAAGCTTCTGGGACAAATCTGCAACAAGGACTCTTTGCAGATTGGACACTGAGTATTTTGCCTCTACCCGGAGCTTGTCCACCCACCAAGATGGCACTACGCAACTTCATGTTGATGGCAAATATGCGACTGGAACGGTGCAGGTTGCGCTGAACGACTCTTGCAAGTATAAAGGTGGCAGGCTTTTCTTTTTTGTGAACAATCACCTGCATGTGCTGGAAAGACCTGCAGGATCAGCGTGCCAGCATCCTCCCAGAGTGCTGCATGGCGTTTCAGCCTTGACCGGAGGCACGCACAAGAGTCTCTTCGTCGTCGACAGGAGCACCGCCTTGGTGAGCAGGGAGTCCTGGAGGTTAACCAGGTTGTCGACAATGACGTGGAAGGTTTTCTGGAAAAGAGGCGAGAAGCTCAAGCCAAACGACAGAAGGTGCAGATGTGCTGTGTGTGTGTGTGTGTGTGTGTCAGGAAAAGTCTTCTGACCATGCACTTCTGCCATGCGGTCATCTTTGCCTGGAGAAGCTATTCAGAGATGCCCGCTTTGCATGCAACAAGTCCATAGCAAGCAAAGGATCTTTGTTTAAGACCTCCATTGCTAGCAATGACAGCCTCCTGGTGAAAAGGCGTATGGCGCGCACGTGATGACCAGTGTGTTGAGCCCAACATGGCCACTTTCCTTGGCATACCCTGATTAAAGATGGAATTGGAGAGGATTCCACCAGTCAGGAAACCCGTCATTTAGGAAGGTTCTTCCGGAGATTGCAACTCAAGTGGCCGGTTCTTTTTACCAGCTTGCCCGGCCTCCTCGCAGCGCCCCACAGGGCGCGGCCACCCTTCTAGTTACTAGTTCTTTAGGTCGCTTTGGGTAGCCCGCTTTGCCAAGTTTTGCTCCAGTGCCCCTTGTTCCGCTTTTTTTGGAATGAGTTCACCCCGTCAAAGTCAGAGAAAAGTCGAGCACCTCTCCTTTGGGCGCATGCCAGTTTTCACTTTTTTCACTGTTCAAACTCCAAACCAGACCGCCAATCCAAACCACGAAATTGAGAAAGGCTGGATACAAAGGGTTAAAAGAGAAACACAAGCTTCAAGCCGGTGAGAGCCAGCAAAAGTTTGTTCCCCCAACCCCACTTCTGACGCACAACTCATCCAAACCCTCCCCCTCCCCCACCCAATCCCCGGCCCATGCCCCTGGGGCGCCAGTTTTTAGGGTTTTTCAAGGTCAGAAATTTGGGGTTGCTTCCCAATAACCTACTGGAGTGACTTTGATGGCGAAAGAATGGGGCCTGTGTTCTGACTCACCTGCCTGACTCCTCTCCCCAAGGCTCAGGGCCTGCGGCGCCTGTCGGCGCTGGCAGCGGTCCCTGGCGCTGCTGGGCGCCATGGGTGCCCAGAGCTGCCGCCCGGACATGGCCCACGGCCCCGGTGATTTGGTCGTGGGACCCCGTTGGGCGGGAAACACGGAACCACGACCAGACTTGGACCACCAAAAAGGGAACCGTTTTCACAAAAAGTCGTTGGGACATGGGGCAAGCAACTGCAAATATGTTTTTTTGGGGGTGGGAGGGGGGTTGCGGAACTCCGTTCGGTTAGTTTTACGTGGAAACAACAAGTAAGCCAACCCTTTTGGAGGTTGGTTAATTTTGAGACAAACCGCATAGTTATTTGTCCAAATAGATGAACCACCCAAGACCCCCCCAAAAAAAAACGCACACACACACACAGAACAACTAAATGAAAGAAACACATGTTTTTTCTCATGGTTTGCACCGGTAATTATGAGTCAAGTCTGCATTGGGAACCCTTTGGGTGACATCATTTAAGAGGGGTTTATATCCATTGAGATTCATAGGCGAACCGCGGGGCCTCCTGGAACATGCAATTAGATACCTCCCGGTCCCAGGGAATTGTTCCCCGCGACCCAGTCCCATGATTGGTGTCAACTTTTAGCCTGGCTCTTTGTTTAGCCTGCTCTTTGGCCCAAAGGCCGGACGGGAACGCACATGCGTAGAGCGTGGTCGGGCAAGCAGGGCATTTGTAAACCACCATGGTGAGCCATGGTCAGTTGGCTTACCATGTTGCTGGGTCATTCCTCGCATAATTTGAGACGCTTTTGTTTGCGATCTGGAAGGCGGCGGTCACACTACCGAATGCTTGATGAGATGATCGTAGCTACCGCCCATCTTTGAAGAGTGACTGAATTGAATCAGATATCAAGGGATTAGGCTTCAACAATCTCAGGGTCAGGATGAGGATGTTGAACATGCTTCTTCAAACCACACCCCTTACCTTGCGTAGCTGAGGTCTCCTTCAACGGCGCGATCGCAGCAACGCCCTTGGACATTCCGCTGAGACGACACCTCTTCCAAATGGACCAGTGTTGGTAAGGAGTGATATTTCCAGGGGTGAAGTGCAAGGAGCTCTGCATTGCCCAGGCCTGCGTCAAAGGACTCGCGTGGGCGCAGGCATTCCCGCGACTGCTTTGCCTGTTGACCCGCGACTGCCTTGGCCACTTTGCCAGGCCATCACCATCAGCCAGACCATTGGCACTTCTGGCTTGGAGCCAGACGATGTTCTGAGCTTACACCGCCAGAAGGTGAAGCCAGCCTCCTTTTTGGCGGACCTCTGTACTGTGCTAATCTGCAGGGGAGTACCTTGAGTCCTGTGCCTTGGTACCCGAACATTAGGAGCCTATTCGGCACACCTTGGCTGGCGTTTCCTTTTGTATCTGAGTGTGGGGATGCGTGCTTGCCATAGCTTGGAGTTGACGCTCTGGCATTCTGGGACGCGGCTGGCACTTGGGCACGCAGAGGTTACTTGGACCTGCCTGCTGTCCGCCTATGGGGCGGGACAGCAGCCGGGACGCTCGGCCCCGTGTTGGCGCCACCCAACTCGGGGGAGGGAGGGGGGGTCTGGAAAATTGATGACATGGGATTGCGTTTTGCGAGGTTGTTTGAGTTACCCTTGGATCATGCTCACTGGCGCGAAACCCCTTCTGGGGCGATTTGCAGCTATCGCCTTGTTGTTTTGGTTGCAATTCCGGTTCATTTTCCGCGGGCGCGATCCCAAACTTCAATTCAACAGTAGTTCGAATTGAAGTTTGGTGACCCTTTTCTTCGCCCCCTCCCACCCCCGCCATGAACATCGAAGCAATTCCTAAGGTGGAGAGCCGCCCTGGAGCTCCATGAGAGGCTCGGGAAAGCTTCGCGAAGCGGCTGGAGAGTTGGGTTCAGAAAATCCGTGAGCGTCCCTAGTTCCCTTCAGCCCTAGGGGTAGGCTGGTTTCAGATTTTTCGCAATTTGGCTCGGTGTCCATGTTGAAGCCGTGCAAAAGCTGGATATAGATTTCGGGTATGGCATTTTTTCGAGGGAACCTCTTCTCAGACACAGTGGGAAAGCACCCATTTGTGCGGGTTCCCTGTCTAGAGACAAACCGGCATGAATGCATCTTACAAAGAACGGCGATGGCGGGGCTGACATTCTGAAATTCTGTCCACGCTTGTGCGTTGCCCCAAAAGCCAAAATCAGGTCTCGGCTTGCCTTAGGGATGTCTGTTGAAGGGGCGCGGGTGAGGGGGACATAGGGGAGCCAAGAGGGAAGTTACCCATTTCGGGGGCCCCACTTCAATTTGGATCTTTTCGTGCCGCGACACAAACTCGTAGGAATGCGAAGCGTGCAGGCTTGGCCGGTGGAAGGCGCAAGGGCCCCAGAAAGGCAAGGCTCCGAAGCACAGCTTGCGACCCAAGAAAGGGAGGTCGATTGGTTTAGGATGGTTGGGGTGGGGTGGGGTGGTAGGTAAGCTTAGGTTGTTTGAGGGTTGCTTCGGGGGTGGTTTGGGTTGGTTTGGCGTGGTTTGGGTTGCTTTCGGCTGGCTGAGCTAGGTTTAGGTTGATTGGAGTGATTTCGGTTGGTCCTCGCTGAGGTAAGTATAGATTGTTTGGAACGATTTTTGGGTTGGCGTATAGCTTGGTTCAGGTAGGTATGTGTAGGTTGTTTCAGTTTGGTTTAAGAGAAATGGTTCTGATTGGTTTAGGTTGGCTGAGGTATGATGTAGTTGTTCTGGGTTTGTGCGGGTTGGGTTGCATTGGGGTGGTTTGGGGTGGTCAGGCTGGTTTAGGTTGGTTTCGTTTGATTTGGGTTGGTTTAGGGTTTAGGCTGGTTGTAGTCTGAGGGTTGGAGAAGCTGCAAGTTGCAAACACAGTAAGGCACAAGTAAGGCACGAGCTACGCAAACGAGCACTCTTAGGCTCGGTTGTCTAAACCAACGACCAACTCACCCAACCTAGCCCCAGCTAAACCAAGCTGAATCAACCTGAATCAGCCTAGAGCAACCTCAAGCACCACAAACCTCTTCAGTCAAGGTCCCTGTGCCTTAGACTATTAGACCACTATGCACCCAGCCAAACTCAAGGCCTTCCACCATCGTCACGAATGCCCTGCTGGGAGCGCTTGAAGGACGCTCACCTCTCGTGTGCTCAGAAGTAGTCTTTAGTCAGATGGACTTTAGTCCTTATGCCAGATGGTCGCGGTGTCACTGGCTGTAGTGGTGTCCAATACTGAACAACCCTTGTCAGTCGCCTCAAAACCAGACACTGGGTTTCTGGCCTTGCTTTTGCGGGTCGAATAGTAGGGAAGCCCATCAAACATCTCCACCATGGACATTCCTTGCTTATAGGTCCCACTCCCCCTAACCCCTCCCTTGTTTTCCCAAGTGGAATCCTTACCTTCTAGTCCAGCCTTCGTAGGCCTTCTTTAAAGCCCCATTTTGAGAAACCAGGCTGCGGCTCCAGCCTCCTGGAACCCTCTGCTTTGCGGATCCGACGGCTGGGATCAGGAGCTGGGCGGTGGTTGGAGGCGCTGCACCTGCTGAGCCGGGCCAGAGGCCAGGGTGCCACGTCTCCCCACAGCTGACACGTCCTAAGATGCCCAAGTGTCTTGGATCATTTTGTGGGTTGGGGTGGGGGGGGGCTCGCCAAGTGTCCGATGAGTTCAACGAATGCCCGCAATCTTCTCTGTTTTACCGTGTCCGTAGAGGATACACATTTTGAATCAACCTGGCACGTATTCGGGGGACTTGCACCCAGGCACAGGCATGTGTGGCATTTTAGAGCGCATGTGTTGGAACCCATTCAACGGGCCACCCAACATGCCTTCCGGGATGGTTCTCTCGAGGCGCCAACTCCGCATCATACAGCGCCGTGATTTCTGCTTGTGGTCGCAGCAGCTGCGGCCGCCCCAGACACGCCACCATGACCAAAAACTGACTAGGGTTCAACAGCTGCTTTTTAGGGGATCAAGCCAACGTGTTCGGCCGCCAACAACATGGCAGGTTTTTCCCTTGGCTTCCCTTCAACACTACCCCGAAGAAGAGCATTGTCAAGAAAGACTCACCCCCCAATGATGCATCATGAGCATGACTCGTGTTGATTGCTGGAACGCTGTTTTGGCCACATGTATTTTGGGATCAGTCAAGTTGATCGTACCACGGTCATGAAAGGCCTTTGACTTTTTCGCTCAACCAGATGCAGCAAAGTTGCTTCCGGCATGATGGGCTGGGCATCTTGTCAAAGGCCGTCGAAGTGAATTTCCAAAAAGTATTTGTTTTTGCTACGCGTGTATGTGTACAGTTGCGCCGCGGCATGTGCAATCGGTACGCTTTGTTTTTGTGTTTTTCGTTTGGCAGGGGAATCTGAGTGTTTTCCCCAGCGCTCGAAAGGGTACTTTTCTTTCTTTCTCGAGCACCTCAGGGTTTTGCCCTCTCTGCTCTAGCAACGTTCTGCCTCATTGGGCATAGTCAGGGCCCATGCATGCGCCAGACGCTCTGGCAAAAGCACACAGTCGCTGGGCCCGTGAGTGAAAAGCGGTACCCTCGAAAAAAGAAATGCATCCGCCCGCCGTGGCTGCTTTTGGGCGGGCATGGATGGAGGTATAGAAGTCAGGAGGTTGGCGCAAGGCTGGCAATGGGCAGTGTGGCTGCTGGCTGAGCTTCGGCAGCGGGGCCTCTCTAAGGAGGACTGTGGGTCCAGGAGTCCTTACAGTTGGTCACAGCCAAGGAAGCACACCCACTAGGTCCCCCAGTAGTGCCCTTTTACCCTTTTATTGGGGAGGGTTCCCCTACTAAAATCGACTACAGAAAAAGGGTACCCTTATTCTAACCTCTCTACTGGAGGACCTAGCCCAATAAAGGGCTTTTACATGGCGCACCTATTCGCCCCATGAGAAGGAAACACAGTAACAGCAGGTGTAGCACACACGTGTCCTGAGGATTTTAGTGAACCAATTCCTGAGAGGAATTATCCCTTTGTTTGATAACCCCCCCCACTTCTTATTCGGGGGGGGGAGGTCCTTGCTTAATGGGGATTGTTTTCTTGCAAGGGGACCCCCTCCCATCATTTTGGTTTGGTCCTTCCCTTTCCACATCAAAGGAGTTGTTCCATCAGCTTTCACCTTGGTGTACCCTCCCTCCAAGCAACGTGGGGTGCTTTCGAGAGAAAATTGATCTTCCAGCTGCCCTCCCACAGATGCTATGATAGACATTCGAACGCTCAAAACAGGCTCGCATACACAAATCCCAGGTAGAGAATGCCCACCAAAAGCGTCCTTGAGTACAAGTGTCTCTCCTTTTTTTGGGGGTGGTTTTCAGGCAAGACCAATTATTTGGGTGATCATTCTGATGACACTTGGTTCCCAACATAGACTTGGGTTGTTCCCTGTGTCACAGTGATCCTCCTCCGGTTTGCCCATTTGCGCGCTGGTCTCAAAGTCCATCTTCCACTGGTCGAGGTGGGGGTGGGGTAGCCCAACATAAAATCTACGTCTGGGAATTGTTCATGGCCCCTTCCAGGAATGTGTTTGCTTGGGCCCGTGGGAGTGAAATGAGATCCAATGAGCCTGGGACCATGCCAAAGTGGACAAGGCTTTCCTGTTTGCTTCTTCGCTCGTGTGTTCCGTGTGGAACAAACGGCAGCACTCGTCGACACGCCAGGACACTGCAGGAAGGCGTTGGGCCGTCGCTTACCGTGCTGCGGTTCAAGCTTGCCGTCGGGAGCTCAAGGCATCAACCCGAAGGCTCCCAACTCTGCTACCAGCTTTCCTAAAAAGACAGCGATTGGAACAAGTTGGTTGGGGACGGATTGGGTTCCTAGCCCTTTACTTGTTTGAAGCTTCACGTAGAGTGGCTGTTGCCAGTGGTGAATCCCTGCGTCTAAATGGGCTGATGGAATCGAAGGCCTGCTTTCAGTCAACCCGCCTCTCGAACTTTGGCAATTAGATAGGCGCCATTCCCCATGCGGACATTTGCATGATGCGACCCTGTCTTTGTGGATTTTTTTTTGAGTGGCGCAGTCATGAAAGCGCGTCAAGTTGCCGGGTTTTCTTTGTCCCCCACTTGGAACATGGGAATCACCATGGCACCAAGGCCCAAGTGGAAGATGGCAGGAGGCACTGCTTGTCCTGGGTGCCATGCGTTTGGAAGGCAAGGGGGCAGACAGGCCGGGTGCGAGGTGCTCGCATCATGAGAGGGAGATTGTGTCGAGAAACGTTCCTTTGGGTCAATGAATGTGTGGTAGGACTGGCCTCCTAGTGGTGCCGTCATGACAGCCACCCGCAAAGTGGTAGGTTAAAGGGAACCACCCCAGTTACCGACTTGGAGAACTCCCAGAAATAGTCAGAAAACAGGCCCCAGCAACATCTTGCAGTACACCTTTGGCATGACGATGCTAGAACAGGCTCAAAACCTAGGTTTGGCAAGGAACATTGGCCGAGCACCAGGTGAGTGGTTTAGTGTGAGCTTGTGCGTGTTGACCTGCTGCTGTGACTTCCCTGTTTGAGACATGGTGTCTCTTGTCGACACGTGCATTGTGCGACTCGGCCACCGGGCTCCAGCGGGAGGGCAGGGAGGCTTGACCAACGCAAGTTAGAGGTCAGAGATCACAAGACGCAGACCGTCAGACGTGTTGGCTGGTTAGCTGTTTCTGGGGGCCGTTTGTTCCGCGCAGCAATGACGGCTGAGGCCTGCGCCTGGGCTCGGGAGGCCGGAAGGTGCCGTAGGTTGCTGTGTTCCGCCGAGGCCGCTGAGGAAGCGGGGCTGGGATTCAAAGAGGACGCCACTGCAGCCCCCTCCGAAAGCCCAGCCGACCCGGCAGCAGCGCCTGAAGCGCCAGAAACAGCTGAAGCAGCTGAAGCCGAAACTTCGGCTGAAGCAACGGAGCCGGCGAAGTCAGTGTTCCTCGCAGGCAGGGCCGCGTAGGGCGTGGTTTTCCGAGATCTTGGATGCCAGGCAGGAAGTTTTCCGCCCGAGCGGAACTGGCAGAGCATGTCAAGAAGATCCAGGCGCACTGCACCAGTAACGGTGATGGGGAAGATTGGACAAGATTTGATGGTGCACGTTGAACGGCGAACGGTGTCAGCCAGGAGTCTGTAGCAAGTGACGATGGCAGCAAGGGCGATTTGTCAGTGGAGGACGGCCTTGCCGCATTTGCGATATGAAGGGCCAACATGCGCCCAGGACAACTTGTTTATATTCCACCTCCTCCTGCATCACCCAAAGGCCGAAATCCGAGTGTGCGCCACTGAATCTGTGGGCCCCCTTCTTCTTCATGGATGGTTTGCAAGGGAAACCAAAGGGACACCGCATTTGCACATGGGTCGATAGGGGTTCTTGTTTTCCGATCGTTGGAGAGTCATTGTGATGCTGACCTATCCCACGTACCTCCCAATGTTTGTCGGCTCTAGGCTCAGTTTCAGCCCTCAAAGAGGGCTTCTTCAGTCAGCAAGTTGCAAGCCCCAAATTCCATCGCCAAGTCCACGAGGTCAGGTGTCAACCAAAACCAGCGGGCGCCAACCGTGCCATGGGATGTGGTGCCTCACAGAAGGCCCGGGCAGCGGATGCCGCGCGCAAGGACTGGAAAGATCAGAAGGGGGAATGGTGAAAGCTCGGGTTCCGCGTGTCACCAAGAAACTAGTGCGGACATGCGGCTTGACGTGTTTGAAGCAGATGGCTATGCTCCAACTTATTTCTGGAAGCCTGCAAAATTTGTTGGGGATAAGGGGCATGCTCTTCCAAGCCTTTCAAGCATATTTTACGCTAGTGGCAGCCCTCAGGATCCTCAGGTCGAATGCCCGCCCGCCACGCCAAGCACCGCCCACACGGCCCCTGCCGCCGCTTCCCCAGCCCCGGCCGCAGCGCACGTGGCGCCGGCGCCGGCCCCGGCGCCTGGGGCCCGCGCGGCAGTGAGCCATGACGGGCGGGCCCGCAGCTACCGAAAAGGCCCTGGTGCCAAGGCAGCCGCCCGCAGGACCAAGCCCAAACTTCGCAGTAATCAGAGTCACAAGTAGGTTGCACCTTTTAGGAGCGGTTTCAAGCAGAACCGTTTGGAAAAAGCCATCTCAAGTGAGTGCGCTTGCGCGGCACCGGGTTGATGCTTCACACATTGACCATAACACATCCTTTTCAGATCGGTTAGAAAGGAAATGCCTCTTCTTCCCCCACAAAAGGGGACCACATTGGGGTGGGATGCCACCCTGGATGAGAACCGGCAACACTCCGAGCCCGGAAGGAACTCAGCGCCAGAGGGAAGCGTCTCTCAGATGAGTTCGCCTACGTTACCTCCATCTCCCAGCAATCTGCACTATGAGGAGACTTGCTCTAGTCGTTTCTTGCTACACAGCCCTTTCTCTAGTCTGGCAACTTTGGGTATCCACCCGCCTCCAAGTGCGTGTGTCTATAGATGGGTTAGGCAAAACAACGATAGGTTAGGCCCCGCGACGAGAAAACGACATCGGCTTCAAACGGATGTTCGTTTGGCTATCATGGATCTAGAATTGGGGGCCTCGCGGCAGCCTGTTTGTGCGTTTGCGTGTATGCATGTTTTGAGTGATTTGAGTGTTTGCGTTTTTTTTTGTGTTTTCTGCCAGTAGTTTCGTGTGTGTGTGCGTGTTTGTGTGTTTGCGTGGTTTGTGTGTTCTGTGTGTTTGCGTGTTTTGTGTGTTTGCGTGGTTTGTGTGTTTTGTGTGTTTTGCGTGTTTTGCGTGTTTAAATGTTTGTGTGTTGCGTGTTTGCGTGTTTGCGTGTTGCGTTTTTGCGTTTTGCTTGTTTGTTTGCGTGTTTGCATGTTGTGTGGTTTGTGTGCTTGCGAGTTTGCGTGCGTGTTTGCGTGTTCGGGGGAATGCGTGTTTGCGTGTTTGAGCGTTTGCGTGCTTCGTGTTTGGGCGTTTGCGTGCTTCTTGTTTGCATGTTTTGCGTGCTTGTGTGTTTGTGTGGTTTGCGTGGTTTGCGTATGAGTGTGTTTGCGCTTTGCTTGTTTGTGCTTGTTTGCGTGTGTTTGCTTGTTGCTTGCTTTTGTGTCGCGTTTGCATGTTTGCGGGGTTTCGAGTTTCATGTTTGCGTGTTTGGGTGTTTTGCGTGTTTGCGTGTTGCGTGTTGCTTGTTTGCGTGTTGCGTGTTGCTTGTTTTCGTGGTTGCATATTTGGGTGTTTTCGTGTTTTCATGTTTGCTGTTGTGTGTTTTGCTTCTTTGCCTGTTGCTTGTTTTCGTGTTTGTGTGTTTGCTGTTGTGTGTTTTGCTTCTTTGCGTGTTGCTGGTTTGCGTGTTTGTGTGTTTGGGTGTTTTCGTGTTTGCATGTTTGCTGTTGCGTGTTTTGCTTATTTGCCTGTTGCTTGTTTGCGTGTTTGCGTGTTTGTGTGTGTGTGTGTTTTGTTGGTACTTTTTTGTGTTTTGCTTTCGATTGGTTCTCCGAATTTGCCAGGACCCACATCTCCCAGCTCTGCCGGGGGCGGTGGAGGACGAGAAAGAGGCCAACAAAAGGCAGCTCGTCCCTGATTGAGCAAGTCTGAGAGAAACTAACGTCGAGAGTTCCTCAAGAGTAGGATGCAGCAGTGGAGTGAAACACTGTTTTGTCGAACCGGACTAGCAAATGTGTCGTTTGAGATCTCCAAAGGTTGCAGTTGTTTGGAAACCATGAGCATACCAACCAGCTGTAGGGGAAAATCCGGTGATTGCTAGGGCCCGGGAGTTCTCCAGCACCTTGGAGAGCGTGAGGAGTGGGGGGGTTGAGATTTGGGGCCAAACTCCGAAAGGGTTGGGCCAAGCACGTGTTGACACATGATTTGGCAACTTTGCGGTTTCCCCTCTTTTCCGTTTTTGGGTGGTGAGGGCCTGCTCAAACAAATGCCCGGCCTGGTCAAAGGCCTTTTTGGATGGTCATGGGCCCCTCAAAGAGTTCAGGCAGCCGTGGCAAGGTGTGCAGGACCATGGCCTAATATGGCCCACATAAGAAGTTTGAACCATGGCACATAAAATATTGGAACGGTCGGGGTGATGGCTCTCGTGATGGGGTTGGGTGAATGGAGGAATGGGTCGCTGGGCATGATGGAGTGATGGAATAGTTTGGGTGATAGTTGGGGTTCGTGCTGTGGCACAGTGGTCTGTTGAGGTGGCAAAGCAAGTGCTTCAGGGAGAGGACGTAAAGCAACGCATCACGTAGGACCCTGGAGAGCGTTCAGACGCTGGAGAGCGCTGAGAAGAGTGAGTCTGATGCGACTGCCACCACTCCAACTGGCACCAAGTCATTGGACGCCCCAGCGGCCAGCGCCAAATCTTTGGATGTCCCAGCAGCCAGTGTCACTTCAAAGGGCTCCGGCAAAGGTATAGGCAAATCGCGGTCGGAGCCTGCCCTGAGCGGCGCGCAGAGGGCGGAGCTTGGGGAATTGTTGCATTGCCAGACCTAACGGATCTGTTTTTGCTGTTTTTGCTTTTTTGAGTTCCTTCATTTTCCCTTTTAAACCGCCAAGAGCTGGCACTTGTTGCAGTGGATCAGATGTGTTTGGCCAAGGTTTGACTTCATGGACAAGAACAGCGATGGCAAGCTCACGCGGAAGGAGCTGTTGATAGCTTCAAGGAAGTCCAAGGCCAGCGTTATGCAAAATGCGCATAAACCAGCAGACCCTGGGCCCCTCCCATGGAAACCTGAAAGAACAATGTTGTTTAAACGGCAGCGGTTTAGACATGGGTATGTGTCAAAAATGGGGGAACCCCAACATGGGTGTTGTCCCTTTAATTTTTCTGAAGCCGCCCTGAAAAGGGTGTCCTCGAATTGAACAGGGCACGGGCCCAGCCTGGCTAAATACCCTTTGAGTTGGGTTTTGACCTCTGGCCCAAAAGTAGCCTCCCCCGGTACTGCCCCTGTGCCCCCCCTGTAAATATGGGTGTGGGTCAATATCACACCAAGAACCGCAGATCTTCGGCATGTGTGCCCATTTACCAGGGTTCCACCCATTTTGTTTGCACCTAGTTTTTTGCCTCTCCGTCCCACTCCCACCCCCGAGCTTCCGCCAAGTCGCTCCCCGTCGCTCGCCTAGCACTCGCAGGCGGTGCGGGCGCTGCTGGAGGTGTCCGGGGGCGAGCTCGCGCAGATGCAGGCGGACTTCGAGGGCCAGGGCCGCCTGGGCTCCGCGGAGGCCTGGTGGAGCCGGATGGCCCAGGAGGACGGGCCCCGAAGGGCCGAGCGCCCGGTGGATTCGGCGGATTCGGCGTTTTTGTGGGGCGTTTTTTTGAACTTGGCACCCGGTGGACCTTGGATTCAGGGCATGTCCACTAACCATGGGTGAGAATGCGGAGCCGACTCAACCAGCCCTTGGTCCCTTTGCAACAAGTTGGTTTGAATATGGTTGGCGACATGTTTGTTTAAATCGGGGGGGGGTTGCCATTTCTCTTGAAGCGAGACCCTGACCCCAGCCTAGTGTTTGGCTCCTTCTCAAACATGGTTTAAGTATATGTGACGGTTGGGCAACAAAACAAAGGCAGGCCAAAAGAAAGGGTTCAAACTGCAAATATGGCGGTTGTTTTTCCAGGAAGGCCAACAGGAGGTGGCTTAAACAAAATGGGCATTTTTTGTTATATAAACATGCTAAGGCCAGGGTTCCTTGCATTTTTTGATTTCGGTTGAACCAGGCCTGGCCCCTCTTAAGGGTAAACCAAGAAGTTATGTTTTGAACACAACGGGTGTGTGTTTAAGACGGGGGTTGGCGCAGCCCTGAGGATGTTTTGTACAGGGCGGATTTTATCAACCACTTCGCGGACAACCCCAGCCAGGCTCTCAAAGGGATCCTGTTGCTCGGGGACGAGCGCGAGCACCGCGAGCGGCCCAGGTTTTCGCCAACCAAGGACTGGCAGCGGGTCCCAAAGGGAGCCGCCTGCCCCCCAGGGTTGGAGTATAAAATGGATTTAGGGACTGGCGAGACGCTGGCGCGCCTTTTGTGTCAAAAGGGGCCCGCTCTGGGAGCGAATTGGGGGCTCGGCCGGAAGAGGCCCAGGGTGCTTGCACTTTGGCTGGATGCAAAGTTGTCGCTGCACTTGGTGCATGTTGCAGAAGCTCTTGCACGCATACGCTGCAGTCGGTGAGCTACCCGCTTTCCGACAACTGGAACCAAGCGTTGCTGGTCACCTGGTCTTGACAGCAGGCTGTCGAGAAGATGATCAAGCCCATTTCGCACTTCAGATACGGAATCTACGAGACTCGGCTTTCATACTCGGCTTTCATTGTCAAATTTCAACTTCTGGCGGCAGTGTCCTTTTGCAAGCTCGTGTAGCCAAAGCACAAAGTGTGGGCCATGTGGCTCCGTTGCTTTTCATGTGACATTTGCCACACAATGCGGGCCACCGGTGAGTTTGCTAGATTAGTGTAAGCAGACCGGCCACAAACCGTGGGAAAGTAAGGCGGGGCCGGATGCAGCCTCAAATGAAAGGGGGGTCGGGAAAAAGACCATGTTTGCGGCAAATCTTCGCAATAATTTTTAGGGAGCCACCCGCCACCCGAGGACAAGTTCAAGAACAAGTGCTTCATCAGCGTAGCGGCCGATGGGCCGGGAGCCGCAGAGTGCCACGGAAGAGGTCTCGAAATCGGGGGAACTCTTGCAGGGAAACCATTCGTTTTGAGGGGCACTGCCGGCATACAAGAGGAGAGAGCAAGTCAAGGGCATGGTCATGGTTGTTTAGATGTGGTGGATTTGTTTGAGGGGGAAACTGAACTGCAGACAAACAAGTGCTCCTTCTTGCCCATGGCCACTGGGGGTCTTGGTTTCGGCGATGAATCAAGTCTGAATGCGCAGGTCGCAGGAAGGAGCTACGCGGCCGCAGAGTGAAGAAATCAGCCATTCTCAAAACACCCGAAGGGGAGTTTTGGTAGGACGTGGACCCCTTGGTACAGAAAACAAGTGACACACATTCTCAGCTTGCAGCTTTCCAATTGAGGAGTCCATGACCTATAGGAGAGGAGGTTTGGCCATGCCACAGCCATTGGCCGTTGCGTGCCAGGTAAGCGCTGCCAAGAGCAACGTGCCTGCAATTTGTGTACCACGGGGGCCTGGCTACCAATGGCAGAAAGCCTACATGAAACCAACCATGTTGGTATATCCTTCTGAACTCCTCATGTGAAGAAACCCGCTGATGTTCTCTTTTGCAGCATGCATGAGACCAATGGCGCTGGCATCATGCCTGGCGCTAAAGCCGAGGCATTGACGTGATCTTCCCGAAGACGGGAACTGCAGCAACTGGCAGCGGATCCGCTGGCCTCGTTGCAGCTCCTGGACTGCACCCGTTCGAATGGTATCATCCGAAGGCCGAAATGGGCGGGGTCATTAGGAGATGAACTTGTGAATGATTTGGGAGAACCAAGGGTCACTGGGTTTCAGGTCCGCGCTCACCACAGTTAATGGCCGGGTTGTTCAACATCAATCTTGAATCCTTGGAAGGCAGTGGTTTCCCTTGGGTCCCGGGCATTTTGATTTGGAAAAAGGGGAGCCGGAACCACAGTTTGAAGAAGTCGCAGTAAGGAACCACCGGAGAAGAAGGAGAAGGGTCAGAAGAGGCAGCGGGAGGAGAAGCCTCCTCCAGAGCCCCGCGCCTTTGAGCCCCATGACCGGGCCGGGGAGGGGCGGGAAGAGCCACAAGCTAAACCGGGCCCGAAGTAGCCCATACACAGCATCTCGTCCCAAAGGAAAGCAACAGGGGTGGGGGACTGGACTTTTTTGAGGCCCCTCTTCAACAAGGTGGTAAAGTGAAGGTGGAGAGGTGACCATCCCAACCATGTCTGAGTATGGCAAGCTGCCCTCAAAACTTTGCACGGTTTGGGTCAACCCCTTTCAATACCAGGCTCTGATTGTGCCTCAGGTGGAGGATCCCTTGGAGTTTTGGAGCGGAACGGAGGGACTTGCCCATGGCCTGCCTTGTGTGGGAAGTATAGGCTCGCACTGTCTTGCAGTTCACCTGCCTCCTTTGTGCCGCAGGAAATGGTCAGAGGCTGCGTCGTGGCCATGCCCTTGGCTGCGCTAATTACCCCGATGTCTTTGTCCAAGTGCCTGCGAGCAGACGATGTTGGCACATTCCCACCCAGAACGTCAGTATTGCACGCAGTTAGCTGTTGCAGTGGGCAATTGGCAGGCGCACACACACACACCACACACAAACACCACACACACACACATATGTGTCCACATAGGTATACAGCATTGTATCTCTCTCTCTCTCTCTCTCGCTCTCTCTCTCTATCTGTTTCTTTTCCTTTCTCTTTGGCTTTCTTTCTTTTCTCGGCTAAGGACGTGCAGGGGCTCCCTGCCAAGGTCCACTATCACAGGCGCGGTCCTACTTGCCAACCGGCAGGGCCCTTTTGGCCATGTGACCTGTCCTTTCAAACAAGCTGCCTGCAAAAAGGGCACCAGCTTGAAGCATCAGGGGTGCTGTTAACAGCACCCCCGCCGCCCACCAAGAAAAAAAGTCAACCACAAACAGGATCAATGACCAATATGACCAATTTCACCAGCCCCACATGTGCTGATTTCAGCGAAGAAGCCGGAGGGGGCCCGTGGCCTGCGGCTAGGCTCAAAGAGCTCCTGAGCGGCTGCGGCAAGGCCGTCTGGGCGTGCAAAAGCATTTTTCCCCAACAGCTGAAAGGTTTGGGGTCTCAGCCCAGATAGGCTCCGGGGTGGTTCGGGGCGACCCTGAGCTAAGGGTCCACCAGGGTTCCACCAGGGTTCCACCAGGGTTCCACCAGGGTTCCACCAGGGTTCCACCAGGGTTCCACCAGGGTTCCACCAGGGTTCCACCAGGGTTCCACCAGGGTTCCACCAGGGTTCCACCAGGGCTTCACCATTTGCGAGGTTTCCACCAGGGTTCCACCACATTCTGCAAGGCTGGTCCGGGGTGGTTTGAGGTAAGGTTCCACGAGGGTTCCACCAAGGGTTCCACCAATTTCTTCGAGGGCTGTGGGGTGGTCCGGGCTGGTTTCAAAAAGTTTCCACAACAGTTCCACAAGGGTTCCACCAGGCGGGGTGGTCCGGGTGGTTTGAGGTAAGGTTCCACGAGGGTTCCGCCAGGGTTCCAGCAATTTCTTCAAGCGCTACGGGGTTTTCCGGGCTGTTTGAGGAAGGTTTCACGAGGGTTCCACAAGGGTTCCACCAAAGTTCCACCAGCCTCAAACCAGCCCGGACCACCCCGCAGCCCTCGAAGAAATTGGTGGAACCCTGGTGGAACCCTGGTGGAACCCTTGTCCGGAGCACAAAGGGCTGGTGGAACCTGGTGGAACCCTCGTAGAAAAAACTTACCTCAAACCACCCCGGAGCACCCTGCAGCCCTCGCAGAACCTGGTGAAACTCTGGCAGAACCCTGGTGGAAATCTGGTCGAATTTTTGTAGGGTTCCACCACGGTTCCACCAGGGGTTCCACCAGCGGTCCAGAAATGAGCTTCCGTGGTTTGCCCTGGAGGGAAGCAGTGTGTCGTGCGCCCGTCGTCTGAAAAGCCATCGGATCAAGATTGGGCGGAACACTAAGCAAAACCGAAATCAATGGCTTTTAGCACAATTTCACTGCTTTGTGACTTGTTGGCTTTGTGGCAAATCAGATAACGTCGCTGCGGGACTCACGGTGCAGCAGAGTAAATGCTTGGCATTGCCGCTTGGTGGGCTTTGGGTTCCAAGAATTCCACGAGGCTGCAAGGGCTATGAGGTAAGGCTCCAAAAACGTTCCACAAGGTTGCCACCAGGTTCTGCAAAAGCTATGGGGCAGCCCTGAGGAAAGGTTCCAAGAAAGTTTCACGCTGAGCTCCACGAAAGTTGCATGAGAACGGTTTGCGAGGTTTACCGGGCCTAGGCCGGGGCCCGATTGCACTGTCGGGGCCCGATTGCACCGCTTGGGCCCGATCGGCCCCGATTGCGCCATCGCGCCCCGATCGGGGCCCGACTCAGTCGGGCCCCGTCAACTGTACCAAGCTGGCATCGCCTAGTTTTGCTACAGATACAGTTGTAATCCGCGTGCTAAGGAAAACCGGCGTTGAGCTATAATATGGGTGGCTGGGGTTGCACCGCGGGACGATCGGGCCCCGATTGCACCGTCGGGCCCCGATCGGGCCCTGATTGCGCCGTCGGGCCCCGATCAGGGCGAGATTGCGCTGTCACTCGTAGCTTTGCTTTAGAAAGTTACAAGGCGGCATCCTAAGGATGCTCCCGGGGCGTTCCGCGAGGATTCTGGGTGTGGTGCTGTTGGGGATATCGCCCGAGCTTATTTTTTTGAATGCGTCTGTTTCGGTCTGAAAGGAAACTGATTTGCACCCCCCCCCCCCCCCCGCCCCCAATTTTCTGGACGCAGTTGCCACATGGCTTGATGCTTGGGGCTATGCGACGTGGGAAGTGGAACTCGATGTGGCTTGAAGGTGCTTCACTTGAGGGGTCTCAGGATCATCAGGAGCATCCTAGATCCCCGCAAAAGGCATCAAGCAACGGCTCGGAGGTCTGACTTGACTCCAAGCCAGCGCCCTCAAGTTGCCAAGCCCAAATGGGCGGGAGTCATAGAACTGGGAGCCTCAAAAACGGCACCGGAATTGTCGCAAGACTTGGGGTGCTTCAAGAGGCTTCAAGCGGCCCCAAGGCTGGTGTCCTTTTGGCCTGAATCGAAAAGAGCCATGGCCCGGCTGAGCTCGGGAGGTGCGCTTTCTTCAGCTCCTCAACGTGCCGAAGTCCAAGGAGCCGCCACAGAAGAAAGCCAAGACGGAGGACGCAGTGGCGGGAGGGGGGGTGGGACTGGCCGCTGGTGTGCCATGATGGACCAAATCCAAGGCACCACTTGATGGCTTGCCCTGGGGTTTGTGAGGTTTCATCTAACTGCGGGATGTCGCCCACCAGTGCCAGCAAGCAGGAAGGTACACAGACCCTTTTGGGGAGCGCGACTGTTCTGTTGAAAGGGGGCCGTGCACTTTCATGAATGTTGCTGGGTGGGTAATTTGCAGATTGCGGGGTTTGCATCCTTGGGACAGGCGGCAGGCGAGCTTGTCCAGTGACGGTGCGTGCTTGATATGTGCAACTTGCAGCGCCAGCAGCGTCAATCACAGTTTGGCTCGAGGAAGGGTTCAAAGAACATGGGCAAAGTCTTACAGAGCACACCGTGACAGCCAGTGAAGTAAGCTGGCTTGACTCAACCTGCCAGGGTCGCTTATGATAACTGCCGGAAAACGGAAAACTGCTTCCAACAAGTCTTGAACCCTCGGTCAGTGGCAAGCTCAGACCATTTCACCGGGGAATCTTGCTTCCGCGGGCATGCGTCCGGCCTGTAAGCCCGAGGCCTGGGAATTGTAAAAAGAAGCTTCGCTCCTGGAAGTCTTCGGCGTGAACAAAATGGTGACACCCACTAAGTTTTACCGTTGAACTCCCACCCCCCAGAAAGAAAAAATACAAGACCCACTTTTAGGGGTCTTGTGTACATGAGCTCTTCAGTTAAGATATGTAGGTCCTTGGGTCATTGTCCATCAGCATTGCCCACGCAGCTTTTGTTCCGGGAACCGCAGCCGCGGGGCAAAACGCCGCAGGCGAGATGCTGGCGTACAAGCTGGATCGGGAACAGCAGGAGGGCCGGGACGAAGAGGAAGTGCGGCAGCACGAGGCTTAGGCACCGGGTGAAGGCAAGGCCATGTCCTGGCCCTTGTTATTCAGGAAGAACAAAACGAGCGCATGTACTGCAAGGTTCACTCAATTTGGGCCAGAATCAAGCCAATATCCACATAACTGGACGATACTGCCTGGGTTGTTCAATCTCAATGTTTAATCCTCATGCCAGGTGGTACGGGTTCCTTCTTCTGGTGGTGTTCGACAATGGTTTCCATTAGAGACCCCTCCTCATTCTGAACAATCGAGTCAATAGGCCAGCGCCTGCAAATCGGCCAACTGACCAAACGTACAGTTGTCGTCTCTTGATTTGGGCCTTGGTGGGGTTTTGCCCCAACCACGCTTGTTTGGGGGAGGGGTGAATGAGCATTTGGACCGGGGCTGCACACGAGTCAACAAAGCAATCAATGTCAGAATAAAACCCAATAGTTGACTCTATGCCTCCGGCTCTTTTCACATTGGCCGCTGTGCATATATTGGCGGGGTGATATTTTGTTAGTTCCAGTGTGGCTTCGCCGCAGACTTGCCGCGCGTGTCAAAAGGCGAGCACCGGATTTTCGAGTCGTTGGCCAAGGCCTCCGCAGAAGCTTGCAAGAAGAACGCAGGCTGCACACAATCGGTCTGCCCTGGCATCCGCCTTGCGTGCGCGTGAGAGCGCCCTCTTTAGACCCGTTCGGGCGATTGGGACGGTAACCGACAGTTCCTTGATCGCAGCAAAGTGGTTGTGGCCCTCTCGTTCTTATCATGATTCTGGCAGTCTGCATCATTTCAGATGAGAGAATGGAGCACGGTTTGGGAGCATGTTTGTTGCTTGAGATGAGTGGCAGCTCCACCCCAGGTTTGCCCTTCTCGCTGCAGACGCTCGGCGACGCTCACTTCGTGACCGTCAGCGTTGGCCGAGGCTACCAGGTCTTTGAGTGCGACAAGCTTCGCCTAGCATACATCGGCCCACGCTTCAACGAGAAGGCGGGCTGGCTGGTGGACATACGTTTCGATTGAATTTGATGTCCACCCAAAGGCCCTGCAGAGTCAATCCACACTCAAATGGGATGTGACAATGTTTATTGTTTGGGGTTGCTTGTGAAGGGAAGGAAAAGGGAAACCCCACAGTTTCAGGGCTTCTAACCCATGTTGACAATCGCCCAGATGTGCGAGTCAGCTATGAGCTGGCAGGTCCGCGCCCTGATCACGGTGGGTGAGACCATCATCACCGCCTTGAAGCAGGACATCGTGGTGTGGCACAAGCTGACGGAGATCGGACGGCTCAAAGGCAGGGCCAATCATTCATAGCGCTTCCGTGTCCCTGCAGCGCTGCACAGTAGGTAGTTTCCAAGGGGACCACCAATTGAACCAAGAGGAAAATGGCTGGCTACAGTAGAGGTGACTGGGATCTGGGATGGAAGCCGCACCAAACAGGTTCTGCAAAACCTAGGCATCTGTGGGGGGGAGCCTTGGGGGGTTTTCCTGAAAGGCCACCGGCACTCGCCCAACATCCTCTGCGCCATCGGCTCCGGGTTCCTCATCTCAGCCGCGGGCATCGAGGACGCGTTGGGCGTTGGTTTTTTCTTTGGCTTGGCGCTTAGGTGTTGTTTTTGGTTGGAGCAAGTATCTGGGATTTTTCTTTCTCGCGGTCTTTTGGGGGGATCTGCTTTTTGTTTTTTTTGGGGGGGGGGATTTTTTTTGGGGGGGGGATCTGCTTTTTTTTTTTGCGGGGGGGCGGGTTGGTTTCGGTTTCTGCTCGTCGCGCAGGTCATCATTTGGCAGCTGTCCGACGTGGGCCTGGGCGAGACCGCCGAGACCGCCGAAACCGAGGCCGCAGGCGGCGGCCTGCGGCCCTGGGCCCGGCCAAGCCTCGGCCCCGAGTTCGGGGAGGTGGCCGCCGTGTGCCACCCTCCCACGTACCTGCACAAGGCCGTAGGGCACACTTTTTTCCTCCTCTGATTTACAGAATAAGGTTGGGAAACCAAAAGTTGGGAATCAAAAGAAACCACTTGCAGTAGGAAGCCTGTTAGGCAAGTGGCTTCTTGGACTGCCAATGATATCAATGATAGCTACATGGGAAGACGCCTAGCCCGTCTGGGAATCGTACAATGTGTAGAATTCCGTTGAGGCCCCGGAATCGGACGGCCCCGAATGTCCATTTCAGGTGCTGATCGCTGGGTCGGCGGGTGGCATCCAGCTGTGGAACGTCCGCACCAACGCGTGCGTCCACACCTTCAGGGCTCACCTCCGCGACGGAGCTGCGGGAGGCGCAAGCGCCGTGCCGGTGACGCGGCTGGCGGAGGCGCCCAATGCCCTGGACGTGGTGGCGGTGGGCTTCGCCACGGGGCGAATTTGCCTCATGAACATTCGGAAGGAGGGAAGGGGACAACTGGCCATCGGTGAAAATCCAAATCGTACCCCCAGTGAACATCCCAATCCCGACTAAAATAGACTAAAATGGGTGGTGCACCTACCCCAAAAAGGTACCATTGGTTTTGACCCACATCCAACTATCTGGCTAAAGAGATTCGGAGGGGGGGGCCAAGGAACCAGGGATGATAGTCGATCCTCGTATGTCCTTGTTCAATGGGGGAGCCCAAGAGCTCAATTGCCAGCAAAATCATTGGTTAGTTGTGTCCTTTCTGCTGCGAGCGGGGGGGGGGGTTCAGGACACGGTGCTCTTCGAGCTTCAGCAGGCTCAAGGGCGGATCACTGCTTTGGCCTTCAGGGCCGATGACGTGTCGATGCCGTACTTGGTGAGTGGGACGCCCACAGGCCGGCAGAAAAGTATGAGCTTGGGTTTGAGAATCTTTTTCGAAGCACGGCGTTTAGTCGTTTAACCCGGATATTGCTAGCTGAGTGGAGTCTCAACGGATACGCCTAGGTGTCCGTTGGGTGATCTCCCCTCTCAAAGGCATACGCCTTATCAAGTGGGAACGACTGACGGATTTTTCAATGGGGCTATCATTCAGATGAGCTGCTCTCAAGAATGCACAACTATTGCACAGATCGGCTGATGTGCCGGGGCCCTTTGGGCAATGCTCCGGCTGTTTTGTTGCCCCGAGTCATTCTTTCCGAAGCCCATCATTTCAGCATGGCGACATCATATCCTAAAATCGGACCAGTGGGACAGAGTCCCATGGCCCGCGAGAGACTAACCATAGGCTGCCAGAATTCCAACTACACACTTCAATTCCAGGGTGTACCCGTTTGGGAGTTGTGTGTTTTGTTTTTGAAGGACCCAAAGAGAAATAGCACATTTGGAGCTCAAGGATCATAAATTACCAATCTCTCTGGAGACATACCCGAAGTGGTGTGATCCCTTCTGGTTTCCCTTTCAACCACCTCTAAATGGGCCAACAAGCACACATCCCCGGAGGCGACTTTGTGGTGTGGGACCTGGAAAAGCGGCGGATGCACCATGTGCGGGAGGGGGCCCATCGGGGCCCAGTCTCTGAAGCCATCTTCCTGCCCAAGGAGCCCATCATGCTGCCTGGCCGGGGGTTTCCACTGCCCACCCAACCACAAACCTCCCCCCCCCGGCCCCAACTGCTGCTGGGTACCCATTCCCAGTGGTTTCATGGGGAAACACAACCACTCAAAAGCCATAGGCAAGCTACCCCTTTTCCCTCTTGAGGGTTTCGCGGTGGCTTCAACCGGACGGCCTAGAGGGCAAACCATGCTTCCCCTCTCGACATGAAAGCTGACACATTGGGACCTGCCAGCTTCCATGAACCTCTCCCCCGAAGCTTGAAACCGCTCCACCCAGAGGAAGCTGAATGTTTGTGAGAGATTCATGTTTACACTGGTGTTCGGTCCAACCTCACTGGGCAATGACTTGACCCTTTTTTACAATAAGTTTTGCTTCAGCTATGAATCTCAATCGAGAACACTGGTTGGTGGACATAAATGCCCTGGTACATGATGCCCACCAAAGGCTCTCAACCCGAATTCTGGCCCATTTCCAATAGGAGGCCATGATATTGCGAGCATCTTGCTGGATTTGATCTTGAAACGGAGAGCTGTCCATGTAGACCTTCCTAGCGAGCTTGACGAGTCCCCTGCATGTCAGATCCACTTGTGCGCTTAGGCTGACGAGTGGTGGCGACAACGCTGACTGAGCCTTATCATCC